TGTGACAACCTTCTGCATTTGAAAATTGTACAAATTTTGTCTTAGTCACGGACAAATCCTCCTGTTTTTTTTTTTCTTCTTCTTATAATACAAACTAGATTTAGGGGCATGAAAAAAAAAAAAAAAAAATTCTATTTTAATACTACTGTATAACTTTATTTTATGACAAATTTTATAACTTAGTGAAAAGTCCTACTGTATAACTTTATTTTATGACAAATTAGGAAATTAGTGAAAAGTCCTACTGTATAACTTTATTTTATGACAAATTAGGAAATTAGTGAAAAGTCCTACTGTATAACTTTATTTTATGACAAATTAGGAAATTAGTGAAAAGTCCTACTGTATAACTTTATTTTATGACAAATTAGGAAATTAGTGAAAAGTCCTACTGTATAACTTTATTTTATGACAAATTAGGAAATTAGTGAAAAGTCCTACTGTATAACTTTATTTTATGACAAATTTTATGAAAAATCTATTAACACGCGTAATTCCACTTACATAGAATGCTACGAATTAAAATTTTCTTTGAAAATTTTATTACAACTTAATGGCTTTTTTACTATTGATTTAAATGCTATGTATATCATTATGTTTATTGTAGGCATGAATGTTTCCTTTTTTTTGTTGTTGAAATTTGCATAATATTTATATCATATGGTACATTTATATAAGGGTTATTACACCTCAATGGTATCAGAAATATAAAAAAAAAAAAATACATATACATGAAAAAGTTTATAATTTTAATTATTAATATGTATAAAGTTTTTTATTAATTTGTAATTATTTTTCTAAAACTCTATTGATATTATATTTCCCATTATATAATGGATGGGGTTTACATGATGTGAGATTCACATATGAAACCACCTTTGTGAGATATCTGTGTCCATTCTATATTTGATTTTCTGTATTTTTAGCATTTGTGTTATATATGTATTATTATAAATGTTTCCTTTTTGGTGGGGATAAATGATACGCGCTTTTTTTTTTCTTAGTCTTAAATGTGAGTATTTACATTTAAAATTTCACACTTTCCAAAATTCACACTAGGTTATTTTGATTGAAATTTCCGAATGAGTGAGTATTGTCAAATTTTGTTACCATTTTTAGTGTTACATTTGAAAAAAATCAATTTTTAATCTTTTGCATAGCTCTACCAAAATTTTGGGGTTTATAAAATATATGAGACTTAACATAATACATGTGGACTTGACATTGTTTGATTTGTTTCCTCCTATTACTTCACCATCTTTTGTATCGCATTCCATTTGGCAATTTATGACCATAAATACAAGTATATATTGGATATACTTAATATGTTAAATTTATGTTAAAACAAGATAATAAGTAAAACTTAATATGTTAAATTTATTTATTTGTTTTTGTAAAACTTGATCTATTAAACTTTTACATAATGAACCTATAAAAAAAATGTCCCATAAAACCATTTGTCCACTTTAAATTTATTTATTTATTTTTGTAAAACTTAAGCTATTAAACTTTTACATAATGAACCTATAAAAAAATGTCCCATAAAACCATTAATCCACTTTAAATTTATTTATTTATTTTTGTAAAACTTAAGCTATTAAACTTTTACATAATGAACCTATAAAAAAATGTCCCATAAAACCATTAATCCACTTTAAATTTATTTATTTATTTTTGTAAAACTTAAGCTATTAAACTTTTACATAATGAACCTATAAAAAAATGTCCCATAAAACCATTAATCCACTTTAAATTTATTTATTTATTTTTGTAAAACTTAAGCTATTAAACTTTTACATAATGAACCTATAAAAAAATGTCCCATAAAACCATTAATCCACTTTAAATTTATTTATTTATTTTTGTAAAACTTAAGCTATTAAACTTTTACATAATGAACCTATAAAAAAATGTCCCATAAAACCATTAATCCACTTTAAATTTATTTATTTATTTTTGTAAAACTTAAGCTATTAAACTTTTACATAATGAACCTATAAAAAAATGTCCCATAAAACCATTAATCCACTTTAAATTTATTTATTTATTTTTGTAAAACTTAAGCTATTAAACTTTTACATAATGAACCTATAAAAAAATGTCCCATAAAACCATTAATCCACTTTAAATTTATTTATTTATTTTTGTAAAACTTAAGCTATTAAACTTTTACATAATGAACCTATAAAAAAATGTCCCATAAAACCATTAATCCACTTTAAATTTATTTATTTATTTTTGTAAAACTTAAGCTATTAAACTTTTACATAATGAACCTATAAAAAAATGTCCCATAAAACCATTAATCCACTTTAAATTTATTTATTTATTTTTGTAAAACTTAAGCTATTAAACTTTTACATAATGAACCTATAAAAAAATGTCCCATAAAACCATTAATCCACTTTAAATTTATTTATTTATTTTTGTAAAACTTAAGCTATTAAACTTTTACATAATGAACCTATAAAAAAATGTCCCATAAAACCATTAATCCACTTTAAATTTATTTATTTATTTTTGTAAAACTTAAGCTATTAAACTTTTACATAATGAACCTATAAAAAAATGTCCCATAAAACCATTAATCCACTTTAAATTTATTTATTTATTTTTGTAAAACTTAAGCTATTAAACTTTTACATAATGAACCTATAAAAAAATGTCCCATAAAACCATTAATCCACTTTAAATTTATTTATTTATTTTTGTAAAACTTAAGCTATTAAACTTTTACATAATGAACCTATAAAAAAATGTCCCATAAAACCATTGGTTCACTGAACTTGTGACTTCTCATTTCATTCTACCATATAGGTACTTGACTGTAGAGATCGATGACATTGAATCTTTTGAATAATATGACAACCCTGACCATTCACTTTTAATATTGTAGAAAAATTTTAATTTTTTTATTAATTAATTACTTTGTGACATGATATAAAACAATAATCCCTCAAGTACTCGATAAATGTAAGGGTTGGACCACGGTCCACCAGAAACCATGTTTTAATGTTTCAACTCGGTGCTTCATATAAAAAAGTATAAATAAATTTCAATTCAGGCCCACGGTCCACCGCAGGTCCCATTTGATGACCAATACTGAACATATATACATTTTTGTGGGATTAGCTGTCCATTAGATGTCTAATTGCAATAGAAAAAATTTACAATTAAACGTTGGAATATGAGTCCAAAAGATTTGTATTCCCAATCTAATACTTTAATCTGGCTAATCACACTAGTCCATAAAGGATAACAAGCAAACATATAGACGTGGGCAAAGATTAGTAGCTCGAGGTTGGTTTGTCAAAAATTTGAGATACTTGAGTTTGATTTGGGTCAACTGGATCAAACAAACTAGCTGAGCTCAATTTTTTTTTTTTTTAATTTTTAAAATCAAATTAATTTGCATATTATGTGAAAAAGAGAACATTATGAGCAAAATGTAATTAAAAATAAATTTCATTCATTAATTATGTAAATTTAATATAAAATAGAGAAATGAAATATATTTGATATATTGTTAAAAATAAATATTAATTTATATATTTTTTGTTAACGAGCCTAATTGAGCCGAGCTTGGGTCTACATGAACTCAGCTCAATTATTTATTGTGTATACAAATTTATCTTGAACTCAAATGAGTTTTAAATAAGTTGATTATGATGGTCTTTTCACAATTCTTGAATTGAAGGGTTATTTTTATCTATATTTCTAGTTTAAGTAAAGTCAAATTTGCAATAACAAAAAGAGTAAAGTTAAAAGTTAAAAGTTGAAAGTGCAGAAAATAGAGAAAATGATGTGATAATTTATAGTGACTTTTTGACTTCATAGTAACCATGACAATGGTATATCTATGAGTAGAGTTCTCAAAAATGGGTGATACTAGTTTTCTACAAATTAAAAATAAGTAAATAAATTAATAATTAAATAGAAAAAGAAAAAGGGGCAGATGGTGCAGGTTACCCACATTATTCTTATTAGAAGACAGAGTTAGTAATAGAAGCTTTACATGGAAAAATCAATAATGGATAAATTGCACATGGTTATAATGGTATTGTTAATTAGTCAAATCACAAACGTTACAAATACTAGATAAGTTCGAATTCAATAATTTAATGATTTTTCAAGTAATACAAAACCTTATGATTACTTGATATTTTTAGCAATTTCTTCAGTTTTTCTGTCCAATTTTACGTTACGAACTTTTCCTTATATTTTTCCGTTTTCTGTCTTCCTCTCTTGAAATGGTGAATTCTATTTTGCTTTTACAGCTCAAATTCATTTTGACATATTTTAATTTTCCAAGTAATTTTGTATATAATCCCAATGTTCAACTATATCTTTTAATTTTCAATGGTAGCAATAGCTGTTGATTTTGAAACTTAAGTTTTCTCTTTAATAAATTTGTATACATAAATAAATAAATTTTTTTAAAGAGTTTATGCATTATAAGTAGGTAGAGTACCAACCACTATTTTTTTTTAGGAATAAACCAATAACAATTGTCAAATATGAAACAATTAATTGACTTCAAGCTGAATAGTAAGTTTCTTTTGAATAGATGAAAAAATAACATTTTCCCATGAAGATTTTTAAATTTTTTTGGGGGGTTACATCATAGTAACTTACAACTAAACAATTGACTTTGACATATGAAGTCAACTAGCTTCTTATAATGCCAATTACGAAAAAAAATTATTTTATAAATCTCATGCATTAAGAGCATAAGATTTTAGAACTCTCAAATTAGCACATTAATAAACTAGTAATCAAAACCTCAAAACACAATTATATTGGCCAGCTTTATGAGTAAATTCCAAGCCCCTTTAAATTGCTCATGTTTCATCTAAACATCTTCATAGTAAATGTGTATTCTTTTTTTTCTCTCTAGTGGGAAGAGAAGAGTTCTTCAATAGTTTTAGCCATGGCAAAGAAACCAAGCATGGGTCGCCAAAAGATCAAAATTGCGAAAATAGAGATCAAAAATCACTTGCAAGTCACCTTCTCAAAACGCCGATCTGGGCTTTTCAAGAAGGCAAGCGAATTTTGCACGCTTTGTGGCATAGAGATTGCTATCATAGTTTTCTCTCCGGCTGGCAAAGTGTTTTCTTTTGGCCACCCTAACGTGGATTCTATCGTTGATCAATTCCTAACTCGAAACCCTCCACCTAACACCACCACACGCCACCTTATTGAGGCTCATCGTAATGCTAGCGTGCGCGAGCTCAACTTACAACTTACTCAAGTTCTCAATGAATTGGAAGTCGAGAAAAGACACGGTGAAACCTTAGATCACACGAGAAAAGTTAGTCAAAGACAATACTGGTGGGAAGCTCCAATAGACAAGCTTGGCTTGCATGAGCTTGAACAACTTAGGAATTCAATGATTGAGCTCAAGAAGAACGTAACCAATCAGGCAAACAAAATTCAAGTTGAGAGCACCACAAATCCTTTGCCATTTTTCTTAGTAAATGGCAGTGGAATCGTTGATCCCTTTGAGAGTAAAACATCTCATATCAATGCTTCTTCTTCAGTCACTCCTAATGTCCATAACTTTGGCTATTATGGTCATGGATTTTTTTAAGGTTTTCTTGTCCATTTTCATGTTGGTTTCAAGCTGGCTAGTACCTTACTAGCCTTAAATGTCAATACATAAATCTTTTTTCAATTATGTTTGTCCATGGATTGTAATGTTGATTTTTCATCTAATATTCCTTAGTGCCATAATAAATATTAAATTAATTCGTTTTTGGCAAGTTATAATAATCATAACTTTATTAGTTAAAATTTTACCTTTGTATGGATAGAAAATGGATTTAAGATGGCTTTCCAAGATGTTACTTTCACACCCATTGAATGAAATTCTTTAGAAAATTATGTTTAATTTATATTTTCCTATAATAATAATGAGCTCAGTCTTAGGATTAATATGGATGCTTCAATCCTATTGTTATGGTAAGAGAAAATTACATTTTATACCCTTAAAGTATGACTAAATACCACTTTATCACTCTAACTATGAATTTATATCAATGTAAAACTTCAATTAAAAAGTTCATTACATTAATGAAAATAATCATGTGGCATGCACATGATAACTCTAATACTGTGATATGCCGAAATGAGTATATCTTGAAAAGAAAAAAAAAATTAATGACATCAAAATTTATGTGCCCTTTTTCTAATTTTCCCATAGCCTAAATTTTCCATCGAATTTTTTTTTCTCTAACTTTCACAACAACCAAACGAACCCTAATTCATCACACAGCTAAAATTTGATCGCTTTGGTTAGGTCAGTACCTAAAATTCACCAAAAAAATTTACAAAACAATGAGTTAATTCATCCCAAAGCATGCATGGCAAATCATGAAGAAAACATATTAACTAAAAGAATTGATTCACAAAATAGCAAACATTCAATTTCGTTGCCAATTGGTCGAAGATTCAATGGAATTTCACTACCCTTTGACCCCCAATGCACGTTTAATTTTAGATACAGTGACCATAGTATTAGGGAGAGAGGTGGGGTGGGTTTGTGGTTAGTGAAAGGAGATAAATTGGAAAGGGTGAAAGATGGGGAAATGGTGGATATGGGCTTGATGGCCCGTTAAACTTGCTTAAACTTGTTATGATTTATAAGGTTTGGGATAATAGTTCAGATCCATATGACTAAGTTTAGAATTTTTTTGCGATCATTTATAATGTGGGTGGTCAAACTGCAAAAAACGCATCAAGCCCGTTTTGTCCCGCTCACAAATTATATACGTATTTATGTGTATGTTTTATATTGGTGTCTTTATATTTTTTATTAACATAATTTACGTATTAGACCATCTCTAACGCTTAGTCTCTTTTTTTTATTAAATTTGAGTAAAGATTTGGGTTAAAAATTTCATATAATACTAATCGTTTCAATGCTAATTTTTCAATTTTCATCAAACAACCAGTCGACTGAGAAAACGACCGGAAGGATGTCCAAGCGATCAACTGACTTGTGTAAATTGATGGGCAACTTTGCAAGCAGCTGGTCATCCAATGTATTGTGATGTCCCAACGGCTAGTTGAGATAATAACGGTTACCTACAACAATTTGATAAAACACTAAAATCTCCCTCAATTTGATGAAAGTTTTGAGATTTTTCTCACTTGATATGAGTTTGATGTCATGGTTAGAGTAGCAAAACTATACTTATTTTATCAAAATTAAATATGATAAATAAAAGAGTAAGCGTTGGACACGTTCTTATTAGTTAGGGCATCTCCAACGGTGCATTAAATTTTTCACTAAATTTGAGTAAAAATTTGAGAAAAAGCTCCCATTTGATATTAAGTGCTTCAACAGAGGTTTTGCATCTTCGTTAAACCATTGGTCGACCGGGCGGATGTTTGACCGGTCGACTGGCTAGTGCAAATTTTTCACAATTTTTCTTCTTGAGGTGGTCATTTGGGGGGTTGATCGGCCAGTGTAATTTTTTCACAAACTTTAGCCTTGAGGTGGTCATTTGGGAGGACATCCGGGCAGACATTCGGTAGTGAAAATCAAACGGTTATAAACAGTAATTTGATTAAATGTATATTGGTCATCAAATATCCTAGATTTGATATCGATGTGATGAAACCGTTAGAATTGAAAAATGAATCATTTTTCATCAAAATCAAATTTTATAATAAATTTAATACACGATTGGAGATGGTCATATGTAAAAAGATTTGATGTGATGCAAACTTTATTTCCTAAATGTGTGTACTATATAAAGGCTAGATGGGATAAAGTGGTATTAAATTATACTTCAAAGAGATAAATCCTTATATTTTGTGATCCTGTAATATTTTGTGTTTACTAATTGTTATAGAATAATGCTATACAAATGTAAAAATTAATATAAAAAATTATACGGAAGGATAGGACTGAATTGTTGGACTATCGCTCTATAACAAAGAGCTCATCCGAATACCACTATATTATTAAAAATGAAATATTCTATATAAAACATATGAAAAAAATAACATTTTTGTAAAAGAAAATGATTGATACTATTAAAAAGTCTTTTCTAATTTATCTTAAATGACGTAGCAGGTCACATGTAAATTTTTAATTTGTCACAAACTAAATCATATAGTTGAATTGTGAGTCTTAACATTTCTCTTTTATTTTTCACTTTTAATTTCTAAACTATTTTTTTTTTAAATTTTTTCTTTTATAAATTTTTCATTTCATCTATTTAATTTAACAAGAATGCTAAAGATCCCAAAAATTCTATCAAAAATTCTACCAAATGTGTCACATAGGTGTGGAACTCATATGAGACCCATATTATGTGGGTTTTACACTAATATGAGATATTTGGTAAAATTTTTAGTAAATTTTTTAAAATCTTTAACATTACTCTTAATTTTAATTTCAATTAATATGGTTTAATTATGGCTCTCTCCATTCTCTTTCACACATTTGTGAGGTAAATTGCATTTAATCTCATTACTATTGCCATTAGAAGAGAGTCTCGTTATGCATTGAAAAATATTATTTACACAATAAATATGTGCACAAAAACTCTCAAATAAGAGCAGGTCTTACATAGGTCCGACATGTGTGGTCCCAAACTTTCATATAAGAGTTTTTATTCACGGATTTTCCATTTTTATTTTATGAGTAATGTTAAAGATTTCAAAAATTCTATTAAAATTTTTATCAAATATCTTACATAGGTATGTGACCCATACAATGTGTATCCCACACAATGTGAATTCAATGTGAGTTTCACATTCATGTGAGACATTTAATAGATCTTTTAGTAGAAATATTGAGATTTCTAACATTTGTTTTCTTATAAAATCTTTTTCATCTTATCTGCATTTATTGTACATTAAATTCTTAAAAGTAGTAGAAGATAGTAGTTTTTTTTGGACTTTCTTTTGGATCTAAAAGCCACTACAAGAAATTAAAGATTTTAAAAATAAAAATTTAATAACAAAATTATTTTTTAGGGACAAAATATTTTTTTGCCAAAAATATTATTATTTTATTTTTAGCAACAAAATTAGACATTTAATGATGAATTACTAACCTTTTGGGATCAAAAGTTGTCTCAAAAAATAAACATTTTTGAGACTAAATTATTTTATCCCTAAAAGTATATTTATTAACGGCATTTTCAAAATTTTATCTCTAGAATTTATTTTTATTTTTTATTTTTCAAGACAACTTTTTAGCGACTGTTCTTGCGATAATTGAAATTAATCCCTATATATTTTTTATAATAAAATTTGTACTTTTTAGAGACAAAAAAATGGTCTCTAAAATTCTTATAAGTTGTGGTGAGTTCCTAAAAATTTAAAAACTAAAAATCTAATATAGACAAGCAATTTTGATTTAATTGAAAAGGCATATTTTAAAGCACTTTTTAATTTTAGTGAATTTTCTCAAGTTTCATTTAATTTTTTTAAAAAAGGTTTTATCTTAAAAGTGCTTTAAATTAAATTAAAATTTGAACAAATTTTTTTAAAAAATCACTACAAATACAAATTCAATTGAATAATATGTGTTAGGTTAATGATGATATGCTGATATATAAAAACTGTTGATGTTTTTTCAAAAATTAAAGTAATTATTATGAGAAATAATAGTTATTATTAAATTTATCTTACTTATTGTGTAAATACTGTACATATATGATCCTTTAATTTAAAAATAAAATAAAATAAAATAAAATTATCATGACATATAAAAAAAACTAAGAGGTGAAATGTGATAAAATATTATGGGAATATGTTAAAGGATTTAACTATTTTTTATTGTCTCGTGAATTACATGAAATTTTATATACATTATATATCTCATTTTTTCTCATGTCTCTGGCTCTTTTTTTTCGATCTCTTCTACTCTATTGATGCTCATTATTGACAACCTTTATCACCGTCTATCGCTCTTACCACCAACCACTATCACTCTTCTTTCCCTCTTCCCTCGCCTACGGTTGCCAATACCAACCATCCCATTGGTATTGGATCAAATAGGTTTGATGGGTACTTTCGGACTCGTGGTGGTAAATTAGTTTTGAGAAAAAGACTATGGTACATAGGGCTGCAAATGAACAGAACCGTTCGTGAACAGGCTCGAGCTCAGCTCGGTAAGAGCTCGTTCGAATTCGGTTCGTTAATTTTTTTTTGCGTTCGAGCTCAAGCTCGAGCTCGTTAAATTTTTAATAAACAAGCCAAAACATTCTAAAGCTCGGCTTGTAAGCTCGGTTCGTTAGCTGACTCGTTTAATATTTATTATTTATATATTAAATAATATAAAAATATGTATAAAAAATAAGAGAAATATGTTATTTATATATTAAAAAAATATAAAAATAAATAATAGTTAACTATAGATAGTACATTTATATAATAGTGGTAGTAGATATTATTATTTTAGTAAAATATGAACTTTTTTTAGTATGTTTATATATATTGTATATATAATTGTATAATCAAAGTTTTTATTGTAACTTTAGTCTCACATGCATGTATGAATTTATAAATTTTTTGACTCGTTAAGGTTCGTGAACAGGCTTGAGCTCGAGTCGAGCTTAAGCCAACTCGGCTCAAGCTCGATTCGTTAAATTTTTATTCAGCTCGAGTTCGAGCTCATTAAAATCTTAATAAACAAGCCCAAACATACTAAAGCTTGGCTCGGCTCGGCTCGGCTCGTTTGCAGCCCATTGATAACTCTATACTTTTTGAGTTATAATTAAAAAAAAAAAATCATAATCAAATATCTTAAAATAATATTATAATTAAAAAATAAAAATAATCATAATTAACAAAGAAAATAATATAACTAAAAATACCTATAATATAAAAGAGCAGTGCCTTATACCCCAGTGGGGGTCACACCCCCAATGAGGTGGCGCACCCCCACTGGCTGACAGTCCAAAAAAAAAAAAAAAAAAAAAAAAAACAGTTTTTTTTCGCTCCAATCACGGACTGCCACCTCATTGGGGTCGGGTATAATGCATTTTCGAATATAAAATGTGTGTAATAAAATTCTCTTTATTTTAATCACCTTTTACTTGACGTTGGCTGCCTATGATGGAATATTCCACAACAAAAGACGATTAGATGGAACAACTGAAAAAAGACAACAAAGACTAGGATTATCTACTTCTTGATTTCATAAAAATATTAAACTAAAAATGCCAATGTAAGAACACCTTCAACAGTATATTAAATTTAAATAAAAATACGAATAATTTTTTTTTTTGATATCAAGTATTTCATTAGAGGGTTTTGAAGTTTTATCAAATTATTGGTCGATCAGGAGGATCATCAACTAGTCGACCGGTTAGTTTAATTTTTTTTTATAAATTTTTATTTTGAAGTGGCATTCAGGGACAACTGAGCATATATCTGGAAAAACATCCGGGGTACATCCAGCAACAATAATAAATAATATTTTAATAAAAGGCACATTAATCCTCAGTTTGATTAAAAAAAATATTCTAAATTTCATACGTATTTAATAAAACCGTTGTAACAAACTTTGTAATTATTTTTTATCAAATTTAAATTTGATAATAATTTTAAATAACCGCCGGAGATGGTCAAAAAGTTGATCCGTATGTCAAATCCTCAATTGCTTGAATATTCTCTTTTTTTAGGGGTGTTTAGAAACTATATAAATCACATTTTTTTTTGAATTTTTTGTCTTTAGTATTTTTTTAAAATTATATCAATAATATTTTTCTGATCCATTTGGTAAACACGAATTTGAAAAAATAATTTTTTTAAAACAATTCTAAAAAAATTAAAATTTTAAAAAAGTAAAAAATCTACTATTTTTTCTTATTTTTATTTTTTGAGACTTTTTATAGATTTTTTTTAAGTCTTTCGGATTGTCTCTTTGAGTTAAGGAATTATTTGGCATCCCTTATATTAGTACAATTTTTAAAAAAAATTTTGAATTATATCACATCTTTACTTTTTTATGCATTAAAAATTAAAAAAATATTGTTTTAAACAATTCGTAAATTTGAAAGTGTAAAACTTTTTAAAAAATTTTAACAAAAGTTTACTAAAGAAGAAAAAAAAAATAAACAAATAAACAAACTTCAAATACCCATTTAATTAAAAAAGCAATATTTTAGAAGAATAATCCAGAAAGATCCAGAGACATTTGTGATAAATTTGATGGTGATTAATGGGACCATTACATTTTTGGGTTGGAATTTTGCAAAGGAGGACCATACAAACAAATATTTTGAACTAAAGTCCAAGTTAGGTCCAACTGGCAAAAAACAAGGTCCCAGGTAGCATCATAGCTGTGTAAGGGCTGTGTAGATTTCAATACAAACCAAGTCATTAAAAGCACAGACATACAAAACGACAAGATTTTGGAACGGAACGACAAAGTTGTGAGTTAAAAGTGCCAGAGAGAGAGAGAGAGAGATGAGATGCTGCTAATTGCCTAATCGCTTCGCTGGCGCCTTTGTGTACGTGCGCACAGCTCATCCTTCCAGTTTCCCACCCACTCACTAGCCCTACCCCACGCTTGCCCATGCATGATTTTTTATTGCATAAATTAATGTTAGGTTATTACAAATTTTTTTAAATAAATTGGGGATATCATGGAGTTATTTGAGATAATATAAATAAGTGTATTTTTTGACTTTTTATGAAATATGGGTTACATTTAGATTGGATTTGAAGTGATGTGTTAGAGAGGTGATGTGACTTAAATAAGATGATGTGACTTAAATAGGATAGTAACTTTTTGACTTTTTAACTTTTTCAAGACATGCCAAACTTGGCCTATATTTCTTTGAAACAACAATGATTTAGACCATTAAAAAATACACCACTAATAGCACTAATACATTGGGAATGGCAAAAAAAATAATAAAAAAATAAAAACAAGGCATAGAAAGTGGGCGGGACCCACTGTCACATCATTAGTGCTCCATTTAGTGATCCCCTTTTAGTGCTCCCAAGCATTTTTTTTCTTTGAAAATCAGAATCAATCAATCAAAAATAAATATTAATTTGTCTGACCTAATTTTGAAAGAATTTATTGATTTCAACAATGCTACATTCGTATAATTTTTTTTTCTTACACTCTCCTGAAATGATATGACAAGATTGGTTAGAAAATTTTAAAAAAAGCGAAAAGTATAGGCGTGTGAGTCAATAATTTGTATTTTTCTTATCACGTCTTTAGGAGAGATTTGTATGAAAGAAATTGTATGAATGAAGTATTTTTCTAATGATTTATATTCTCAAATGAGCAATTCATCACATTATTAAATACAACTTTTTTACATAGATGAGACTAACAACGTTGATGGGTTCCACTCCATAAGAGAATGGTATTCAATTTTACGATGATATGTTGTCTTGTTCTAAAATAATTATTCTTTCACTACATATTATTTAAAAAATGTTCGGGACTCACAAATTAAACTCACAAATTCACTTATAATAATATGACAAGAAGTTGAACTTTATATAGTTGAATGTGTGATAAATAAAAAAATTAACACACATCATACAATATTATGCGTCAAATTAAGACCTTTTAAAGTGTCTCGAACATATTTTATATAAAAAGTCATCAAATGTTAACGTACCTTGAAGTGGTTTATTTTGTAAAAATCAGTTATGTATTTTTTCGTAATTATATACATACCAGTTCATGTAAAAAAATTGACATATAAAGTTATTGACATTTTTTTGGTAATTTTTTATAAAACCAAAACGCTTAGGGCTCAATTTTTAAAAATATTATGACCACATTACTCTTAACACTTTTTGTAAGAACCCTTTTTTTTTTTAATTGGGTTAAGGGGTGTTTTGAGAAAAGGTTTTTTTTTGGGCTTATTTTCATTTTTAGTGAATTTTTTTTTAAGAAAGTTTTAAAATTTTAAATTTAGTTGGACAAGACGACTGAAAATTTATAATTTTTAAAAAAAATTCAAAGAAGACAAAAATAAGCAATTTTTTTTGATTTATTTTCATCTTTAATGATTTTTTTTTGGAATTTTTGAAAAAAAAATATACTAATAAGATCATCTTGATAAGATGGATTAGAAAAATTAAAAAAAAAATTAACATAATTTTGAAAAAAAAATACTAAAGATAAAAAAATTCAGAAAAATATGTGACCTTTTTTTTGGTGCCAAAATGGGCCTAAGTGAGTCTAAGAGATTAGTTGATGCGATATGACTTATTACAGTGGTACTATATGACATGACATGACATGAACGGCTCAAATAAAAGCAGAAGTCAAATGCAATAATCGTTCAATTACTAAGTGCCTGTTTGGCAAAAATTATTTACAGTTTATTTCAGTTTTTAGATTAATTTAAGTTATTTTGATGTGTTTGGTTTAGCTTATAGCTTATAGCTTATAACTTTGTGGAAGTCAGAAATCAACTTATTCTTTGAGTGGGGCAGGAGATGCTTTAAGAATAAGGTGGAAATCAGCTTAAGCTGAAAGTTATAAGTTATAAGCTGTTTAGGCATAAGCTATAACCACTTTCTCACAGCTCTACCAAACAGGGCTTAAGTTGTGTAATATGAGTAAAGAAGAACGTTTACGAGCTCTAAAAGAGCTCTACCTGTGTAGGCCACATAGTGATGGTGATGTTTTGATTTTTTTTTTATTTTTATTTTTTATTATTCTCTACCATGTCATTAGAGCTCCAAAATCAGGGGATGTATCATTACTGTATGAGTAAATCTTAAGTTGAATAAGAAATAATCAATAAAAAAGTTAAATCCAATATAATTAAGAGAGTGTTTCGAATATGTATTAGTCAATTATTTTGGAAAGAAATATAATCCAAATATTTACACCCGTTTTTTTAAATGTATGGCTTCTTATTTTGGAATCATTTTCCAACATTTTTAATAGTGACATTTTTGCCAGAGTTGATTATTCTCTTTTTTGGAGTTAAATTTGATTGTGTGTCAATTTTAAGAAATAAAGTGCTCATTTTTCATTTTTCAATCATCCCAATCGCCCAATATTAATTATTCATTTTTTTTTAATTCCCTTCCTCAGCCCCCTTCTCTCTCTCTCTCCCCCCAATCCATTTTCCTCATCATCCAGGAGAATCCAGCTGTCCTCTCTCTCTCTACAAACTTTCTCTCTCTCTATATATTCTGACTCTTATATCAAATCAAATCACCATCTCTTCTCTTCCCTCTTCAACCATTCAACAAGGAGAGAGAGATTGAGCGAATCAAATACTCAATCGACACCGCACTGAAGGACATAGTAGTCATGGACCCATGTCCTTTCATGCGAATCGTCATCGGAGGTTTAGCAGTGAAGCTTCCTGTGGCCTCGAAACCCACTTTCTCCGGCGTTCATCCTTCGTCATCACCATGTTTTTGCAAAATCAAGCTCAAGAACTTCCCTTCCCAAATTGCTTCGATTCCTCTAATTTCACAACACGAAGATCACGTCCCTTGTTTTCCAGCAATTTCTTTCAATCTCAACAAAACCCAATTCGACAAACTGGTTCAAAAGCCTCGGTGTTTGAAGATCGAGATCTATAAGGGTCGGAGAGGGAACACTTGTGGGTTGAGTTCTGGAAAGCTTTTGGGAACTGTTTTTGTGGCTTTGGATGTGAAATCATGTGCCGTGGAGTCTAGGACTTGTGTGGTTAAGAACGGTTGGGTTTCAATCGGAGAAGAAGCAAAAGCGTCTCAATTGCATTTGAATGTCAAGGCCGAACCCGATCCAAGATTTGTATTTGAATTCGATGGCGAACCAGAATGTAGTCCTCAAGTGTTTCAAGTCAATGGGAATGTTAAACAACCGGTTTTCACTTGCAAGCTCAGTTTCAGAAACGAGCATAGTTTACGATCTAGGTAAGCCTTTTGTGATTCACATTTCAAACCCATATTCGAATCTGATTAATTTTCAAAATTCTAATCTGGGGTTTTATAATTTTGCTTACTTTAGATCATCGCTATTGGAGACAAGTACTTCGAACAGTTGGTTCAATAATGGACAAGATCAACCAGTGAAGGAGCGAAAAGGGTGGTCCATCACCATCCACGACCTCTCAGGATCGCCGGTCGCCGCCGCGTCAATGGTGACCCCATTTGTTCCGTCGCCGGGTTCCGACCGGGTCAGCCGATCAAACCCGGGTGCGTGGCTCATTCTCCGACCAGGAGACCACACATGGAAGCCGTGGGGCCGGCTCGAGGCGTGGCTCGAGAGCGGTAGCCGAAACAACATCGGCTACCGCTTCGAGCTCCTCCCCGACGCCGCCACATGCGACGGAGAGGCCGTGACTCTATCCAGTTCAAGTCTAAGCACCAAAAATGGCGGCAAATTTACCATAGATTGCACTGGAGCTTCACCAGCTTCAACCCCCCGAAGCAGCTGTGAGTTCGGGTCCGGGTCGGAATCCGGGTCCGGGTCATGGGCACAGTTTTTGTATCAGGGCTTCGTGATGTCGGCGACGGTGAAGGGAGGAGGAAGGTGTAGTAAGCCGGAGGTGGAGGTGGGGGTGCAGCACGTGACGTGCACGGAGGATGCGGCGGCATTCGTGGCGCTCGCCGCCGCAATGGACCTTAGCATGGATGCCTGCAAGCCATTCTCACGGAGGCTCCGGAAGGAATTGAGAAATCCGAATCCTCTAGATTGATTTTTGTTAGTATGATTTTAAGATTATTTTTTGAATGATTGAGATTTAATTTTATAAAAATAAATAGATTTCGGGAGGAGGTGAGGCAGCAGAATCAGGAGTTTGTCGTTTGATTTGGAGGGGTTGTCGTTTTGGAGAAGTTGGGTGTTTGGTTTGGTGGATATGGATTTTTTTTTGGGTAGAATTTGTTAGCTGTTTTGCATTGCTGTGCTGTGTACAGTTATTGAGAATTGGACACCTACCATTTTTTTAAAAAATATTGGAAATTGTAATTTATTTTATTTGTTATTTCTGTTTTTTTTGTTTTGTTTTGTTTTTTTTCAGGAATTTTGTGGCTCAAAAGTGGCTCAAATGGCCAAAACGATGTCGTTTTGGCCATTTTTATATTGTTCTGTACTCAAAACGACGTCGTTTTGGCCATTTGAATCACTTTTGAGTCACAAAATTTGAACTACGTAGCATTGTCGTTTTTTCAGTGATGTAAATTTTAGAGATTGATCCAGTCATTTGTACATTCATTTATCCATTTTGTGATTTTATTATAAAAATTACCTTGTTTGGTTTAATTTCCAAAAAGTATATTATGGCTTCTTATATTTCATATTCTTGTATTTTTTAGTAATTTTTTTTAATAATTCAATTTAATAGGTAATATTATACAAACAAAAAAGTTATACACAATGTGGCTAGTTGTAAATATTTTGTTTTGAAACATAACAAACCATTGAAAATGAGTTTATTCTAATAATAATATTGTTATATTATTCTTCTCAAGTTTTTTGTATAAATTTTATTTATTTATTATTATATAGTTAATCTAGATGCACATAAAAAATAAACTACATGGGATGAAATTTGACAAAAAAAATTTGCTAAATAAAACATTTTTAGTGATTTCTTTTTTAAAAATTTCACATAATTTACTTTTTAGGTGCATTTAGATTAATGTATCTAAAAAGTAAAAAATAAAATTTATCGAAATATAAAAAAACATGAAGACAAGGTGAGTTGTGTTTGGATATTGAAAACTTTTTTTTTTTAAAAAATGTTTTTTAGTTTTTTGTTTACTAAAAACTATTTTTTTGTTTTTGTTTTTTTAATTATCAATAATTTTTTTTAGGTACATTTTAATAAGATGCATCTAAAAAAAAAACTCAAATATAAAAAAAAATAAAAATTATTTTTTCTGTTTTTTTTTTTAATTTGTTTGTTTGTTTGTTTGTTTTTATTATTATTATTTTTTTACGTTTGAAAACTTTATTTTTATCAGAATAGGAATCCTATGTTGATGGTTATTCTTGCAAGTTATGGTTGAATGTTTCTATTTTTTTTTGATATGTTGGGTATTACCAGTTATGTTTGAATGATTTTTATGTGTAGTGTGTCTTGGGTTAGTTTGTGCCTCTACAATTCAAACAAGCCTTTCAAAATAAGTTTATTCCTTACGATCCATAGTTTTAAGAGTTTGGTTGGCGAGGAGAATTGAATTTGAGATTTTGGATGGAGCAAACCCCAAAATCCCAAGCGTTATCTATTGAATTCATATATTTATGGTAATTAAAAAATGAATTGTTATAAAATTATTATTGTTTTATTTTCTCTTTTTTGCCTATTTAGTTTTGGAATTAATGTCACTTTTATCTCTAAAACAATTATTGTAAATTACACTTGCTTCCATTCCCTTGAGGTTTAAAAAAAAAAACACGCAACTTTAAGAAACCAGAATTAATTGAGATGATGTAAAACAAGGTAAAGTATATGACAATATCAATTTTCATCTATATTATTAATAAATTATTAACGAAAAAAATAAGTGTTATATAAATTAAAATCTTAAAAAAGTAATATAATTATGTCAAACTTGTAAATTTTATTCTCCAAATTAGAATTGTTTGGATTATTGAAATCGTAGAATCATAAAATTCTTTTGGATCGGGATTCTATAATCATGCAGGTATATGTTAAGAAGGAAAAAAAAAAACACTCAACTAAAGTGTGTTAATGATCATATGTAAAGTTTGTTAAAGTATGTGTGAAAATAGAGTCTCACATATCCAACTCGAGGGGGAGTAAGGCGACGCCCGATATTTGGTTCACACACGAGGGAAAAATTGTTGAAATATATATGAAGGTAGTCCTACATCTGATATAAAAAAGAAAAAGAAAAAAGAGTCTGAATACAAATTAGACGGGCTCATTTAAAACTTTTAAGTTAATATAAGTTCTAAAAAATATATATTAAGAATTGGCATGCCATGTGTGGACTTGGGCTGGTATTGTTGCGTGCTTGTAGGTCCCTTGATTCTCTAACAAGGTTATTCCTTAGTTTTTTCTCACAAATAAACAATCCATCAATGTTTAGAAACCTGAATTGGATTTGTCGATCGAGCCGGTCAAACCAATAACCAAACCTTGTTCCGGTCCAGAAAATCCTCTAAACCTGAAGAAGGAGCAAAATCGATATAAAATGCAAGAAATGAAAGACCCGTCGGTTGAATCGGCAAACCCGACAACTCGGACTGGGTTTTAAAAACCGGCTGGTTTTGTTGAATATATATATAGCCCTTAAAAAATCCCAAATCTTAGGGCTACATAAGGGTTTTCGGCTCCTCTCTCTCTCTCTTTTCTGGGTGTCACCGGTTTCAACCTCTTTCAGACTCTCACTTTCTTTGTCCAACAGCTACAGAATTCCTATGAACGAAGGACACAAATTCGGTGAGCATTTCAACCTCTGTTGCCGGTCTGTTTTGTTGGTACCTATTATTTTTCTCTCTCCCTTCTCTTCTTCTGTTTTATTGTTTTGTTTGAATTGAATTGGGATTTTTGAGGAGGAAATATCATTTTGCCCTCAAACTATCACGCGTTTTTCAATTTGACCCCCATACTTCAGTTAATTTCAATTTAATATTTGAACTTTCAAAAAATTGATCAATTTAACCACTGCCATCACATTCCGTCTACAATTGGACGGAATGTGATAAGTTGTTCTATTGAACTATATTCTGAAGGGAATATAAGAGTCTTTTCTCTCCATATGCAACCTTTCCCTTTTGGTGAGAGAGAATGAGGAATAGAGGGTGATACAAAGCATCATTTCGGTAGGTGAGAGAGAATGAGGAATAGAAGGTCAAGAAATCAGGGAAGATAGAGCTCAACTAAAGGAAGATGGAGCCCAAGTGACATGGAAGACATGAGATGCATCTGCTGTAGAAGACGAAAGGTGATACAAACATCATGGACTGATGCAAATCCTGGTAGGAGGTTCCTCAGTTGTCCTAGTAATGGTTGTAATCAGTTCACCTGGGTAGACCCACCTATGTGCTCACAGGCAGTGCAAATCATCCCTGGGCTGTTGAAGAAGATCAATAAGTTAGAAGCAAGATTACAAACAAGGAATTGAAGAGAAAGCTGTGGATATGCTTGGCCGCCTCATGGTGCATCATTTTATCAATGTAGTTTGTAATGTAGTGTAAGAAAAAATGTAATAAGGAGGACTATTATGAATGAATGAATATAATGGGGGGAGATATTATGAATAAAATGTAATGAGTGAAGTATTTTGAATGAAAATTTCATATTTTGTGTTAAGGTTGTACTCTGAAAAAAAACAGAGCATCACATAATTTGTTTGTCTCCTTAAAAAACAATTTGTGGTCACCCTTACAAAAAACAAAGCATTATCATTAAAAATAAAAAATAAAAATAAAAAAACAGTGTCACCATAAAGTCAAAAAATAAAATACAAAAAGATAATTGGTGGCCTCTTGTAATGGCACCTTCAAATGGCATTCATCCACCAAATGGTAACCAATGAATAAAACACGCAATTGACATGCATAATTGCTAAATGAAATCTTCAAAACACACAATTGGCATCACTAATAAATTGCATCCATCCAAGACTTATTGAATTGGCATGAAATCATCAAATGGCAACCAAAACGAACACAAGCTAAATTTACATACAAATCAAGAGCAGCATCCATAAAATACAGCATCATGCACAAAACCAACATTCATAAATTTGTCATTCAAGTTTTCAAAACACACAATTGTTTGTGACAACCAAAATACTACCTTTACATAATTAAGAAGTTCAGGGCAACCATTCCAAACAAAAAACCATTAAATGTACAAAAAGCCCCAATGGCAAAGTGATGTGGATGTTTCCTTCTTTTATCCAAAAAAAACTTCAAGCTTTTGTGCAGTGGTGCTTCCTTCTTCCATGCAGTGGATTCAATCTATAGGTTCTCCCTTTTTTTGTCCAGTGGATGTTATTTTAAGGCCACTAGCATTGTACACTAGCTTGTCTCTCCACAACATTTGACCCTCCTTTGGTGTGCTGGTTGAACTCATTGGAGATGAAGTTGACTGACTTTCTTGTACCACTCTCCTTTTAACCTGCAATAAGATTGAATTATCCATAATTAAACAAAATCAAATATATGATAGTTAAGTTAGTATTTTAAAAAAAAAAAAGAAGAAAAAAAAGAAAGAAGAACACTTACAGCCAGGTTCTTCTATCTTCTGTATGGCTTGACCTTAGGTCTTTCTACAGTTAATTGACTTTGAGGTTGGCTTTGTTCAGTTTGGCTCCCTTCAGATTGGCTTTCTTGCATGTAGTTGAATTTGCCTTTCACCTTGCAACTTCTCCTGTTATGTCCCACCTTCCCACAATTATTACAAGTCATTTTACTGCCCTGCCTTCTTAGCTTTGTGCCTTCAGTTGGTGCCTCAATCTCTTTTCTTTTATGTTGTTTAGGCCTCTCAGCTCTCTTCTTCACATCAGGTGGTAGCACATTAGCATACTTAGTTGTTGGCCACATTTCTCTACCATTAATAGGACTTAACATGTTGTCATAGATCATCAGATAAGTCTCCGCCTTGTAGTGCTGATGAACATATTTTTCTGGTTCTTGACCCAAATAATTTGCAGCAGCCACAACATAGTAGGCACATGGAATACTTGATAGATCCTATTTCCTACAGCCACAACTCCAAGCTTGCAAATCCACCTTGTATTGCTCACTATATGGCCTTACAACCTCAAATTGCTCATTGACATTCCATCTAGGAATCCATCTAGTTGTATTCACTTTTATTTTCTCCAACAAATTATGAATCTTAGGACATATAAGACCATTGTGCCTTTGCATTGCATCTCTTCTTTTTTGAATTGTTTCCATCAACAATAACCTAATCTTCTCTAACATTGTAACCACAGGTTTACTACTAGCTTCCAAGATGCTTGAATTGAAACACTCACATAGATTGTTTAGGAAAATGTCACACTTCCAATGAATTGGTGGTCTTTCTATTAACCAAGCATATGCCTACAATCAACTTCTTTAATCTCTTCCATCACTCTGGTAAATACAGGAACAGTTGTTGCCTTAGTAGCCTTCCACAATAGATCTTTTAGCACCAACCCCTTGTGTTCACCCTTAAAATTGTTGTACAAATGCCTCACACAAAACTTGTGTGAAGCATTTGGTAACAAATCAGCCACTGCATCAATCAAACCCTTTTGTTTATCACTTATGAAGGTATAACAATAAGAGTTTACAATATTCAGATCATGTCCTAGCAACTCTAGAAACCACAACCATTTTTTTTTTTTTTCCTCTTTCTCAACAATTGCATAGGCAAATAAAAATATGCAATTGTTTGCATCTATCCCAACAGCAGTCAAGAGAATACCACCATGTGACCTCTTCAAATGGCATCTATCAACTCCTATGACCGACCTGCAAGAATTCATAAAAGCTTTCTTCAATGGACCCCAACAAAAGTACAACCTTTTGAACTTTGACTCTGTATTGCTCCCATCAATAACCCTTGGATTACTTCCTTCATTAACCTTTGGAATCTGTTTCACCTTCATGCAGACTGTTGTTCCAGGATTGATATCCCTAATCTCCTCAATGTAACTCCATAACATTACAAACTGCTTAGCTGCAGTACTCTCTACTTATGTCAATACCTTGTTTCTTGCCCTTCTCACTTTTTGTAAGTTAACCTTCACATTGTGCTCACTTGAAATAGTGTCTTCCAATGACTGAATTGGCCATGTAGGATTTAACCTAATTCTTTCAAAGTACCTCTTCACAATCCATTTGGAAGTCACATGTGCCACATCAAAAGACCTATTATAAGTGTGCTGATCAACAAGTGTTTTGATCCTATACAACCCATCACTTTTTACATATGTAGCATAACAAACCCAAGGACAACCAACTTTGCACTCTACCCTAACCTTTTGTTTGTCACTCTTGGTAAATGTTATATGTTTGCCCCACTTAATTGCATACTTCTTCACAGCATCCCTAAACATATCATGACTCTTCAACTCCATATCAAGTTTGAATTGAGGATTGTGCATATCAGAGTCAACATTAAAAATAGGGTATTTCCTCCTATGAGAACTACCTCCTTTATCAGATGAGCTGTCAATACTTCTTAGCTCATTAGAGGAGCTTTCAAGGCTTTCTAGCTTATCAACTGCCTCAGCTATTACATTCTTACTACTTCTTACACCAGTAAACTCTACATCTTTGTCAACATTAGCCTCATACAATGCATCATCATCAGAAAATCCATAGTCATTATCCTCATATTTCTCAAACTCGTTAGATGAGGAAGAGTCTGAGGGATTAGGATCATAGTCATCACTATCTTCCTCTTCTGCTACCTGTATATTTACAAGTACTCAATTTCTCTGACTTCTTTTTGCACTTGACCCTACTTGATTAACTTGGGCACTTATAACATCATCCATTCCTACACAACCTATATAAACCTTTACTACTCTCTTTCCATCCACAAGTATCTCCAACCTCATTAACTTTAACCCACCACAATAATTAACCTTATAGTAATAGATGTTACATCCACTGCAGCCTACTCCCTTGGCCATATTATCCAACTCCACAAGTGATATTTCATCAGAATTACAAAAGTCAAAATAACTGATAAATCCACCACTATAAACCCTCTAAGGATTATAACTAACCAAACTCCCATGATGCATTTTGATTGTGAAATAAGAAGATCCTTTCTCTACATTTTTTAAATGAAAAAATATGCTATTATGGACTAATTATACTAATAAATAAATACAATTAGTATTAAACTACTATTACCATAAGACAGTTCCAATTTAACAAATCCATATATGAATACATTAAGTCAAAAAATCTTTGCCGTCCGGGATTCGATCAGATCAACCAACGACCTATTTACGGAACAAGGAGTTAAGCAAGCGCCAGGAGATTGATGGAAGAACCTGGCTGAAGTTAGTGTTCAACTTCGCAGGTAGGCTGGTTGGAAGGATTGCTTTCTGCCGTTTGTCTTTTCCATCTCTCTCTTCTCTTAGCAAGGTAGGCTCAAGTCACGCTTTTGGCTTGCTACAAGCTGGGTTGTATTCTTGGTAAATTGATTTTTAAAAAGCATTACAAAAAAAAAATTAGTTTCTTTTAAGGACTGATTGAACTAATACACTAATCAAGTATTACACTATTAAAGTAAAACAATTCTGATTAAACAAATCCTTTTCAAAGACAAACAGACAAAGATTTATTCTAAAAAATGCCAAAACAAATTAGTATTATATCGGAAATCAATTTTTCATAATCATTAGCTTCAAAAATAAACAAATATTAACAGTAAATACCATAAACAGTTGGTCGATTCCTTCACTTGCCATCCTTCACTCTTCGAACCCAACCTATGATTCAATGTTAGTTCGTGCCCTTCGTTCAATGATGAACTTTGTTTTTTTATTTCGTTTAAGAAATTTGAAAACCTTAAAATTGATTTTGATCCCAACAAAACCCTAGTTCAACTGTCTATCACACCAACTTACTTTGTAAGCAAAGCCCTCTTACATTCCTTCCAAAAGATAGTTCAGGGGGACAGCTTATCACATTCCATCCAATTGTAGACGGAATGTGACGGTATGGGTTAGATTAATCAATTTTTTGAAAGTTCAATTATTAAATTGAAATTAACTAAAGTATGGGGTCGAATTAAAAAACGCGTGCCCGTTGGGGGAAATGAAATTTCCTCATTTTTGAGAGAGGAGTTGTGAAAATGTGTGAAGGAAAGTAATATATGTGTGTGTGGGGTTTAGCGAATGAAAGTAGAAACCTAGAGAGAGAGAGAGAGAAAGAGAGACAGAGGAGAGGGTTCATGGATTTGGTAGAAATGGGTTGAGTTTTGGTCGACGTGAAACTGTTTGTTGAGAGGAGTTGTGAAAATGTGTGAAGGAAAGTAATATATGTGTGTGTGGGGTTTAGCGAATGAAAGTAGAAACCTAGAGAGAGAGAGAGAAAGAGAGACAGAGGAGAGAGGTCATGGATTTGGTGGAAATGGGTTGAGTTTTGGTCGACGTGAAACTGTTTGTTAATTTTTTTTTTTGGAAAAAGACAGGGACCCCACTGGAGGGAGACCCCCAGAGGGAGCTGATTGGCCTATTTTTTTTTTTTTTCATCAATGACCAACCCCCACATATGTATAGGGGTGGTAGGGGTGCTTGGAGACTGGGGTTCTCCAACACGGTTGTTTTTTTTTTAATGGTCTGTATAATTGTTATGTTTTGTTAATGGTCTGCATAAACTTCCATATTGCAATTATTATGGCATGATGTTTTTGTTCTGAATTGATTTTGAGCCTTTATTTTTTTTTGAAAATTTTATTATTTGTTGAATTTAATTTTTTTTCATTTTTATACACATTTTTAATATGTATTTTAAAATATGTATATGATATAATTATGATGTTATGATTCGACCGCTTTAATCCGATAATTAAACCAGTGATCCGTTTACTTTTCCGGTTTGCTTACCGGTCCGATTTTCAAAACATTTCAATCCATGTTAAATTGAAAAAAACAGAAAAGAAAAGCTTATACAGATTTAAACCTTCAATACCATCAACTTGCCTACACTCCACCTAGAAAGTTGAAACCATATTCTCTCAATTAATCAATAATTCACACGATCAAGCAAAAGGGTTCTAGAACCCCACATGTTACCAAATTCAAAACAAAGGAAAACAAAAATTTTATAACTGGACTAAAACTAATAACTACTTGATCAAAATTATCATTCAGCCGCAGCATCTTCATTGTTGCTTCCTTCAGTTCTAATTTCTGGCAAAGTATCAAGATCCGCGCGGACATCCTTCTCTAAGGGGATGGAAGAATCAACGGGGTCATGGTGAACTACATCTGGATTCTCAGTTTTGGCAGAGTCCCGGCTTTCATCTTTTACATCTGTTCCATTACTGGTTTCTGACTTCTCATTCCGAGTTGCATCAGTGTGTTCCTCTGTAGTACTAGTACCCTCTACTCCAACCGATGCATTAGATGTTGCAACCTTTTCTGATATAGATAATTCTGAAGTAGATAACGAATTTGAGAATTCTCCTTTGGCGGCTGATTCTAAATTTTCAGTATTACTGGAAATCATCAAATTTGAGTCGGATTGATTGTTTTTGGAAGCTGTTGCATTAGAATTATTTTCCTGTCCCAGAGCAATGGTTTGTAAGGCGGAGTCTTCTGAAGTTGTGCCCTCTACCGTGGCATTTTGAGCTTTACTTGCACTTGCTTTAGTCTCCGTTTCATTTTGCAGGGACAAATTGTTAGTTTCCAAACTCCCGTCTGTTGAGTTATTATTGCCTATTTCTGGTTGATTGTTAGCCTCTGTTGTCATTGTAGAATTCAAAAGCCAGCTGTCCTCCGATTTGGATGAACCAATCTCGTACCGCTTTTCTTCTTTCCCGGTTACATTTGGAGAAACAACATTTTCAACCATTTCACCTTTTGCATCCTCTATGCCTGTCCTGTTTTGAGCAACAGTGATTTCCTCCGCATTATTCACTTTATTTTCCTCCCCTAGACTATTCATTTCAGTTTTCTTGTTTGAGTTTTCCAAACTTCCTCCTTCAGTCTCATGTGTCACCGCACTGGAAGCATCATCAGCCCTATAATGTTCCTCTCGCGCCTCATGAGCATTCCTATTACCTCCACCATGATTACGGTCCTCCAAAGAATTCTCATTCTCATTTTGAACACCTTTACTTTCAGCTTCCTTCTCATCAGCTTTTTCTCTCTCCATCTCTTCATCGATAAAATCCACCTCATGCTCAACCCCTATCTCAGATTTCTGTTGATCACGTTCGGCTATCTGATCATCTCCACCTCCTCTCCCCTCATCTTCTTTCTCTTCAGACTTGTCTTCTTTTTTCTCTTCCTCTTCATTCTGCTTGTTCTCTTCTTCTTCTCCTCCTCCTCCAGTTTCTTCTTCTTCTACTTCATCATTTTTCATAGTTGTTTCCTCCAATCCAGGAAGGATAGCTTTTCTTCCGATTTTCGAAATTTCACCATCAAAATGTTTTTCATGTGATAGCTTTGCATCGTTTTCATCAAATTCTTTCTTCTTGTCATGGGAGTGCTTGACTTGGTAAACCAACCAAAAGCAGACAGCAAGCAGGACACAAATTTGAAGAACACGCTTAACCTTGATGCCTTTGGACCTGTGGTTTCTACTAGGAGACTGCTTGAACATGATTGTATTCCATGAGTTATCCAATGTCCATCTTCTTCCAATTTTGGAACGAGTCACTTAACCTACCTAAAAAACCAATATGTAGCAAAACTGAACAAAAGTTAATAATAATAATAAACTCAAAGCAATCAAATCATCAAATATGAAATAATGCTGTTCATGGTTTTAAGTTTCGATAAAATTGGACCAGTCCATTCCACTTCTACTGCTACTAGAAATCAATAGGTACAAAGGAACCATACCTGATTTACATTAAAGGGGATAAACAATCATATCAAAAAACCTAAAAAACCAATATGTAGCAAAACTGAACAAAAGTTAATAATAATAATAAACTCAAAGCAATCAAATCATCAAATATGAAATAATGCTGTTCATGGTTTTAAGTTTCGATAAAATTGGACCAGTCCATTCCACTTCTACTGCTACTAGAAATCGATAGGTACAAAGGAACTATACCTGATTTACATTAACGGGGATAAACAATCATATCAAAAAATATGAAACTTGGTTTTAAGCAAGCATAAAATTAAATAAGATAATTTTGTGCAATGCTCTAATATTTACCAAAACTGAAATGAGGGGTCTTGTGTATGGTAGCCCAGCTTCTCAGGGCATGAGAGGGTTCTAATATTAGATCATTTGTTTGGCTAGTTGTTCTCTTTTGGGTGAATAAGGGGTTGTGTTGTTGAGTTGCTAAGGAAGTGCAACAGCCTATGAAGTACGAGTACGAGTACTGGTATGATATGGGTACGTCGATACGGTAAAATTAAAAAAAAAATAGAGTACGGGTACAGCTTGGTACGCTTGTAAAAAAAATATTTATTTTTAATTTAGATTAATGCAAAAATTAATTAAATGGTTTAATTTATGAAGGTCCAACCTACAATTAACATTTAATGTCAAAAGTAGAGGTATAAATCAAAATTAAATGTCAATATATTAAATAACTTACAAACCATAGTTTAATTTTAAAATCATGCTAAGCGTCGATACGGTAAAATAAAAATAAAAATAGAGTATGGGTACAGCTTGGTACGCTTGTAAAAAAAATATTTATTTTTAATTTAGATTAATGCAAAAATTAATTAAATGGTTTAATTTATGAAGGTCCAACCTACGATTAACATTTAATGTCAAAAGTAAAGATATAAATCAAAATTAAATGTCAATATATTAAATAACTTACAAACCATAGTTTAATTTTAAAATCATGCTAAGCATAACACAAAATAAAAAAGAAGTCTAGCGAAAGGAGTTTTATCTCTGTAGTAAAAGAAAATATTGTTTCAATTGAGGTACGGTACGACTTGGGTATATATTAGGTACGTTTAGTTGGAATTTGAAAATTATGCCATATGTGAGAGGATTCTACTCTCTAGAATGAGCGCACCTTCAACTGTCAGCTTTGATCAACAAGAAAAATTTCAAGAAGAAGAAGACCATCTGATTCGTAGCACCAAGAAAATTAAAAGCAAAGATTCAATGGGGGGAAGCAGAGATGGACATCCCCATGGATGATCCATCCATACACACCCTCCCCGCCCCCTCTCAATCTTCAAGCCCTAAGTTGTTGTCTACACCAATTGAGGGGCCCAAGGTTAAATCATTCAAAGAAGCCCTCACAGCACCCAAAAGCAAAGATTTCTATTTTGATGAATTAAAGGATACTATCAACTCTGTGGACGAAGATAAGGATGGAGATACTGACATCCAAGATGGACTTCTCACCCAGAGGACCGATGGGATACCCACAATTGCTCTCCCCAGAAAGTTATTACAAGAAATCAGATGACCATGGGCAAATGCACTCATCATCTAATCAGTTGGGAAGAGTATAGGATATAGATTGCTGTGTGCTAGAGTCAAGACACTTTAGGGGCTACAAGATGATTTCGCCTCAATTGATCTAAGCAACAACTATTTCTTATTTAAATTCTCATCTCAGGAGGATTGTGTGATGGTCTATTCAGGTGGACCATGGGTTATCTGGACCATTAACTTACGGGTAAATGGGAGCCTGATTTTAAGGCATCGGAAGCCTTTGAAACCACCACAGCTGTTTGGGTCAAGTTTCCGGAGCTTCCGATTGAGTACTTTCAAGAAAAAGTCCTCTATACCATTGCCAGGCAACTAGGGAAACCTCTGAAGCTTGATCTCACCACAATCATGGCCATAAGAGGGCGCTTTGCAAGAGTTTGCATTGAAGTGGACCTGCAGAAACCTCTTTGTCCTAGATTTGTTTTAGGTAAGAAAAGTTACAATATTGAATATGAATCCATTCACTCCTTTTGTTTCATTGTGGTAGGGTGGATCACCGTAAGGAACTCTGCAGATTCAAGGAAGCAAACCCAACATCCCAGGTGGCACAGAGCTCTACCTCGCCGCCGGCAACCAACCCAATAGCCGTTACTGAGTCCACCCTAACGACTCCTACAGACGACAACAGTAACCTGCAACAACCAGGAGTAGAGGAAGGGGCTAAAGATTTTGGGCCATGGATGCTTGTACAGAAAAAGAACCGACGCCCCAATGCCCATAAGCAAGCCCAAACCTATGAAACCTGGCCAAACAGAAACAACTTTGCAAAACTGGGTAGCACAAGCCATCAGGAGGAGGAACATACCAGAGGGAAGAAAACCACTAGATCAGGCCATGAAAAAGAGGCCTCCCATTCCAGCCTAACCATTAAGCCCATCCCTCACACCCACAAGAGCCTCAGCCCCTCTACTGGCCCAGCAACCCCATCAAATATTTTATCCCCTGAACTACACGCCAACTCACATGTCATCTCAAATCCATCAGCTACATCAAGCCAGGAGAAAGTCTCCAGTACCCCTGCAAAGCTACCTACTCCATCCAGCCCTAAGAACCCTACCACTCTGCCATCAGATACGATTCCCTCAAAAATCTTGATGGAGGACCTGCCTGTAAACATTATTAACCCCACACCTCCTACCCCCTCACCACTGACCACAGTTCCTCTCTGGGTAATGGAACCTCAAGAATCAGAAAACCACCAGACCCAGGCATCACTCACGGCGACCGGGGAGATACCACTACCAAGGAGCTTAATACACAGGATGGAGGACAATACACTTGAGTCTGTTACTCGAACCAAAGACAGAAGCACTTCACCGCGTAGACACAATATGGTGGATTGAACAGCTAAGATTGAGAATCGAACCAGGATGGAGAACCATACCAGGGCCTCCAATCCACTCATTTCAGATGGCATCCATGAGATCAGTCACCCAAGATCACCGTAGGATCCGGAGTATACTCCCGAGATTAGCCTCTGAACCTCTCCCAAACTACCCATCCATGAATTCTATGAAGATTTTGATCTGGAATTGCCGTGGGGCAGGAAATAATACCTTCAAGCACAACTTAAGGGAGCTCCTTAGAACCCACAAACCTGAAATTCTGGTCCTTATGGAAACAAAAGTAACTTTTAGTTCCCTTGGGAATTTTTTCAACAACTTGGGCTTCTTAGCTTCCACCGTGGTGGATCCAATAGGCAGAATGGGGGGAATTTGGCTGCTATGGGATACGACTCATGTCAATGTCCGAACTTCCTCTGTTTCTAACCAGTATATCCATGCCACCATCCACAAGGAAGACTATGAAGAATGGGTATTATCTGCATTGTATGCTAGTCCCAACCCTGCAACAAGAGACATTCTTTGGGAGAAGCTGGAGAGGACAGCTACCAACATGAACCAACCCTGGTTAGTTGCTGGAGATTTCAACAATTTCATTGATCACAGTGAAAGAAGGAGCTTTACACCCACCCACAACTTTACCAGAGCACAGAGATTTAGAGAAAGAATAAACAACTGCAACCTCATTGACCTGGGAAGTGTAGGTCCTAGACTTACCTGGACTAACAATAGACAAGGTCTGGCCAACATTATGGAGCGCTTGGACAGCGCAATGAGCAATGCCCAATGGCAAACACTTTTTCCTGAAGGCACTGTAAGGACTCTCCCTTGCACATACTCAGACCACTCTTCTCTAGTGGTTTTCACACAAGGTATGCACTCCCTTCACCCTCCTAATAGACCGTTTAGATTTGAAGCTGTCTGGCTTAGCCATCCTAGCTTTACTGAAGTTGTTCAACATTCTCAACATTCTTGGCTTAACATGAATAATAACCTTATTGAAGCTATTAAAACCTTTACTCACAATGTTAAAACCTAGAATAAGGATGTTTTTGGTAATATTTTTAAAAGAAAAAGAACCTTTCTTGCTCGTATAGAAGATACCCAGAAGGCCCAAGCTACTATTTTTTCTCACAGTCTTCATATCTTAGAAAAGGACCTGGTCAAACAATTCAATACTACCCTTTTTCAAGAAGAGGTCCTCTGGTTTCAAAAGTCTAGATCCAAAGGGCTTACTATGGGCGACCAAAACACCAGATTTTTCCATATATCTACCCTTAATAAAAGAAGGAAGCTTAAAATCAATGTCCTTAGGGATGATGAGGGAAACTGGATTGCTGACACCACTGAACTTAAAGCTCATATCATTAACCATTTTCACAATCTGTTTAAGTATGAAGAGACCACCATTTTAGAGGATTGGAACAATATTGCTAGAACCAGATTCACTATTGAAGATAATGATAGGCTCTTAGCCCCTGTTTCTAACTCTGAGATTTGGAAGGCCATCAAAAATATCAAAGCTTTCAAAGCACCTGGCAAAGATGGTATTCATGCTATTTTCTGCCATCAACACTGGAACATTGTTGGCCCCCCTTTTTGTCAATTCATTTAGAATTGTTTTCATAACAAACAAGTCCCTAAGGATGTTAATGAGACCCACATTGTCCTCATACCCAAACTTGACAACCCTGAGACCATTAAACAATTCAGACCTATTAACCTTTGTAATGTCACTTATAAGGCCATTACCAAGATCATTGTTCACAGAATTAGACCCCTCCTACCTTACCTTATTAGTCCTAACCAGAGCAGTTTCATACCTGGCAAAACTACCACCAATAATATTATCATTACTCAAGAGATCATTCACACTCTTAGATACAAGAAAGGCAAGTCTGGGGGTATGGTTCTTAAAATTGATCTGGAAAAAGCCTATGATAGAATCTCTTGGGATTTCATTCATCACTCCCTAAAAGAATTTAAACTCAATGATGACTGGATCACCCTTATTATGAACTGTGTTTCTAATGTTAGCTCTAATATCATCTGGAATGGGGAGACCTTCCCTAGCATAACTATGGGAAGGGGACTCAAGCAAAGAGACCCCCTATCCCCCTATCTTTTTGTCCTTTGCATGGAGAACCTCTCTAACATAATTAAAATTCAAACTGAGAAAGGTAGGTGGCAGGGCTTGAAGGCTGCCAAGGATAGCCCTCCTATCTCCCACCTTTTTTTTGCTGATGATCATATCTTGTTTGCCAAAGCCAACAATAGAAACTGTGATTGTATTATGGAAGTGCTATCTGATTTTTGTGTTATGTCTGGCCAGAAAATCAATCTCCTAAAATCTAAAATGTTTGTCTCCCCTAACCTTTCTAGAAGAGAAGCCCTTCCTCTCAGCCATAAGTGTGGCATATCCTTGACTAATGACCTTGGCAAATACTTGGGCACTCCCATTCTCCACCATAGAGTTAACCAATCCCTCATAAAAGATATCATTGAGAAAATGTCCAAAAAACTCACAGGATGGAAAGCCAAGAACCTATCCTTTGCTGGTAGAACTACTCTGGTTAAAGCTATAACCTCTGCTATCTCTAATCATCTGATGCAAACCTTGGAAATCCCTAGGAAAGTGTGTGACCAAATTGATAAATTGAATAGAAATTTCTTGTGGGGTAGTACTTAAGGTGCTAGAAAGGTTCATCTTGTTAACTGGCACCAAGTGTGTAAACATAAGAAACATGGTGGGCTTGGCATAAGGAAAGCTAGAGAGCAAATTCAGCTTTTATCTCTAAATTGGGCTGGAAGCTTACTAACAATGCTGAGGATCTTTGGTGCAAAGTCCTTAAGACCAAATATCTCAAGAATCATTCCATCTCCAACTGGCCCAGCAAAAGAAGAGTTTCTCACACCTGGAGGAGCATTATCAAAAACAGAGATGTACTTGATAAGAATATCAAGTGGAATGTGGGTACAGGGGAGAAAATCACTTTGTGGACTAACTAGTGGTGTGGGTCATAGCCCCTTTGCAACAAGTATCTAGGACCTCATGTTGATAATGGGGCTATGGTCAATTCTATCATTGATGATGAAGGTCAATGGGATATATCTACTATTCAGGAGGTCATTTCTCAGCGGGATAAGGAAAAGATTCTTAACATATACCGGCCTAGGTATGTAACTTTCAAAGATAGTCCCACCTGGAAGGGTTCTACCAATGGTAATCAAGGAAGCACGGGGCTATGGTCAATTCTATCATTGATGATGAAGGTCAATGGGATTTATCTACTATTCAGGAGGTCATTTCTCAGCGGGATAAGGAAAAGATTCTTAACATATACCGGCCTAGGTATGTAACTTTCAAAGATAGTCCCACCTGGAAGGGTTCTACCAATGGTAATTACTCAACTGCTGCAGCCTATCAAGCCATATCAGGGCATGAAGACAGTGGTCAAGACCGGCAGTGGCTATGGAAGATCAAGGCCCCTCAGAAAATTAAAAGCTTCCTGTGGCTACTTGTTAAAGATGGATTACTAACCAACCACATGAGGCTCCTCAGAAACCTTTCTTCAACTAAAACATGTCCCAGATGCCAAATCAGTAGAGAAGATGTCCCTCACTTACTCAGGAGTTGTCCTAAAGTTCAGGCAATATGGTTAATTTTCAGGGGCTGCAACGCTAACCTTAGAAGCAAAGGGCATTACAATGGTATACAATGGCCCACTCTCTTCCTGACAGCACTTTGGAGCATTTGGAAGGAGAGAAACAAAGAAGTTTTTGCTAACCATATCCAACCACCTTCAGTCAGTGTCAATCTCATTTTACAGCAAGCA